AAATGGTACACCCAAGTCCCTATTTATCCTTGGATTTTCACAAAATTTGGCATAGAGTACTAAATGAAGTCTAGAGTGATGTGTGTTAAGTTTCGGATGTAGATATAGCTCCCATATATATTTCCTTCCGATTTTATGTAAATGGTGCACCAAAATCCCCATTTATCCTGCTTTTTGCACGAAATTTGGCATAGCGCACTCAATTGAGTATAGAATGATGTGTGGTAAGTTTCGGAAAAATCGATTAAGGTTTACATATATTTCCTATATATACTTTCGTCCGATTTTAAGTAAATGGTGCACTAAAGACCCATAGCTAAGGCGATTGACACAACGTCCTGAAATAAATATAAATTATTCCCGAGCAAGTTTCTCTGAAATAAGTTCAGACATAGCTTCCATATATAATTTCGAACTACACATGTTAACAATATTTTTGCATAGGATGCAGAATGGCATGTGTAGGGACTGATGTTAGTCGGTTTACATACATATAAAAAGCGAAAAATCGTCGTCTGTTAGGATACATATGTAGAAGATACCCAAAGTAGTGAAGGGTATCATATAGTCGGCCCAGTCCGACTTTGCTACTTTACTTACTGGCTTAATAATAATAATAATGACGCTGTTGAATAGGCGTGGATTATTTTAAAATATTTTTTGAGAGTCATATATAAAATTTATTGAAATTGGATTCAATATATCTTTGTTATATATCTCCACCATAACGAAGAACATTCTCCAACCGGAACTACCTCACTCTTTTCACTTGGTTACTTAATTAAATACCACTCTGCTGTTATTTAGAATCTTGTCACTTAAAATGACTGCTGTTGGATTGTCATCATTGCTAATCGGTAATTAAATTAACTTGATTGCAGTGATTTGTGAACAACAACAACTACAATAAAAACCACATCAGATGTAAGAAGTACGTCAAGGTGTTCGTTTGTTGGCTGTTGTTAACCGACAGAAACATTTTTTACAAATTTTTACTTAAGTTGCCAATAATGTTGTTACGTTAACTTCTGATAAATATTTAATGTGACTGTCAATGATTGATGGACGGACGGACATGCAGATAGACAACTGACAATTACCGTTGCCAGATGGCAGACAATGTCTTTAACAATATGTTGTTGCTACTGCAGTCGGATCACACATCGATAAATAATATTTATTTAAACCTTTTTTGTTGTTGTTGTCTATATGAATTAACGTGGAATGTTTGTCTCACTGTTTGTTCGTTTGTGTTTGTATGGCTGTGACCATTTCCATTACAATTGTTTATTCCCCCGATACACGTGAGTGAGGCTACATTAAAATAATGCACTTAATTTGTTAAATAAATATTTAATTACATCTACAGTGCATGTCGGCGGCATTAGCGCAGCTAATGCGGGCTATGTTATAATTTGCATAATTGTTGATGTGGGCGTGAGCGAAATTGTACAAAGGTGGCAGATATGGCAGATACATTTTTCACGTGGGAAGACAACATTTTTTGGCATGAACTTGGGTTATTTTTTTTTATTGATGTGATGGTTAAATTTTGGCATGCAATGTGAAATAAAAAATAATGTATTTGTTGGATAGGCTGTCAGATTGTAAAATGTGTCAACAAGAATTGTTGTAGGACAGTAATAGGTTTTCTTATTGGTTTAATCAAATACAAAATTATTTATTCGTTGACGAATCTTCTGCCACTGTGGATCCCCTATAATTGAGTTGGATGTAAACAAGCACAACATTTTGTGCGTGAAAGCAAATAAATCATCTTTTCTAAAGGGGAATCACTTTTTCTGTGAAATGTGTTGTGGATTAAGAATGACTTCGGTAGAAAAATAACTGGCCCGGAAATTAAATAGAATTAAAATTTATTGAACAAATGTTTATTATATCAAATTTATATGAAGGGGATTCCAGACGAGTATGATTTGTATATTATAATAGTAATATTGACATAGTTAACAATAACTGGGGATTTTTGTATTTATAAAATGGTCTATAATATGTTATTGCGACAGGATTTTTTCAAAAATTTCAAAATTTAAATATTTGGTTTGTTGCAACATAGCAAGAATCTACAAATTTTTCCTTTTTATTCGATATCATAAAGGAAGACTTGTCCATAAAACGGTACCTTAAAAATTCCGGTATTTTGGGGAAATTGGAATGTTTGCAATTTGTATTTTAGATTCCCATTTGGCACTAAATCTCCCCATTAAAAATTATCAATATGGGTCCACTTTTTGGTTGAGTCCCCATATAACTCTACCCCCGAAACATCGGAATTATAAGAGGATTTTGGGCAAGTTTTTCGATCAAATTGACTGTAATTTGGTATGTTGGGTTCTAATTCGATACCAAATCCTTTCACTAAAAATTATCAATATGGGTCCAATTTGTTGGGCTGTTGTATAGGCCCATATTTAGGAATAGCCCCCATATAATGATACAACCAGATTTTCGGTATTTAAAATATTTAGCGTGAAAAAAGGATCGATATATAAAATCTAAAGATCGTCCACATATAATGATACTCCGAATTCTCGGTATATCATACAAAGGGTAGGATATATAATTGGACTGGATTTTTTTTTTAATTTTTCAGGCTATTTTATAGGCGTTGATTTTTTAAAAATATTTTTTGAGGCTATTTAATAAGCGAGGTTTTTTTTAAATATTTTTGAAGATATTTAAAAGGCGTGTTTTATACACTTCACCTAACTGTGGTATAGGGTATTATGTCTTTGTGCATATGTTTGTAGCAGGCAAAAGGACACGAGATAGACCCCTGGTTCCTTTTGAGAATATGCATAGAACCACTTTCTGAGTCCATTTATGCATGTCCGTCCGTCCGTCTGTCCGTTAAATTGTAAATAAAGAACAGGTCGCATTTATGATCCGATTGGGTCACGTATTTGGCCTAAGGACGAACCGCGTATAAATTGTTAAGCTCGATTGTAAACACCCCAAGAGCTGCCTCATCTGCTTGTGCGAGTACCCATGCTTCAGATCCATATAACAACACGGGTAGTATCAGCGTCTTTTAAGGGAACTCCACCCATTCTCGATTTTGATTTTTTAAGATTTTAAATGGGCTGGTAAATCAATACCAATGCTTGTTAAGATTTGTAATTTGCACATATATATTTGAAGATTTTGTTGTTGTTGTTCTTTGTAATTAAAGAAAAGTCCGTATTTTTGTTGGCGGGCATGATAACTCCTCACTGGAACATCGGAATCCGAAAATTCCAACGGAGTTAGAAAGAGTACATGTCTGGCTCTCTTATGAACTAGGATTATTGACTTCGCTCTAAAATTAACAAAGTGGAGGACGTTTGAAAAAATATTTTTGGAAAATCGCCGATTTTTTAGCAAAACCCAAGTTAAAAAATAAGGAAGATCTTCACCGATTGGCTTTATCCTAGTTCATACGATAGCTATACACTTACAGAGAAACGTGTAAAAATTTGAAATCGATTGGGTTATTAGTTTTTGAGTTATCGTGCCCGCCATTCGCAAAAAAATGTTTAGAGAAAAACGCGTTTAAAGTTTGAGAAGCCCTTCAGCCGTCACTTGATGCTGACACAATAAATCGGCTATATCTTCAAGAGTTCTTGAGATTTTCATTTGAAATTTTGTAGGGACATTCTTTAATTATTGTAGATTCGAATTATATCAACAAAAAAATTTGACCCCGAGAATGGGGGGTCCCCTTAAAGTATGAGTTTGGTCTGGCGGGAGGTGGCATTGTTTCTAAACTGCTTACTTAAACCATAGTAGCATCTGTTGGTCATCGCAATCCTTCCCTGAATTTCAAAACTGATGTCATTCGTTTTATTTATGGCGGTATCAAGGTATATAAAATATTTCACTACCTCGAATCTGTAGTTCTCAAGTTCCACAGTTGATCCGAATCTATTGGACATCTTGCGCGTCGATTCTATCGGCTTGGTCTCCTCGACATTTACTACCAGTCCCACTTTGGCAGACTTCTTCTCAATTCGTTCAATTGTGGCAGTTACCGCTCGCAATGTTCGACCCATTATGTCGATGTCGTCGGCATAGGTGAGTAACATAACACATATGGTGTACAGAGTGCCAGTTCTGTTCACCTTTGGCTTTTGTATGTCCTCTTCCAGCAGGATGTTAAAGAGATCACTTGACAAACTGTCACCTTGTCTGAATACACATTCGTTATTAAGGGGCTTCGAGAGGTATTTTCCGAACTAAAACTGCTGACCTTGTGTGGCATAAAGTTATCCTGCATACCCGTATTAATTTTGCAGGAATGCTGAACGCAGACATAGCTTTAAACACCTCTGAACGGATAGGGCTGTCGAATGCGGCTTTAAAGTCGACGAATAGGTCGAATAGATGGAACAATGTGTCGATGTGTTTTTCGTGAGTCTATTCCAGAATCTGGCACAGAGTGAGAATCTGGTCAATGGTGGATTTGCCAGGCCTGAAACCGCAGTCCTTCTCACAGCACGCTGAATAACACTGATGCTGAATATCACTTTTTTCAAGGATTTGGAGCAGAGTGAATATCTGTCCAATGGTGGATTAATGTTATTTAGCATTTGCGGTCCAATATTGTCATTGACCGAAATTTAGCATAGCACACTGAATTGAATCTAAACTGATGTGCGATAACTTTCGTGAAAATCGTTTCAAATTTAGAAATTTCTTATATATATTTTCTTCCGAATTTAAATGTGTTCCATTGTACGCAAACTATTCTAAATCTGCCCGAATGAAATTTTATGGATTGATGTAAGTTGGTTCACTTACAGATAAAGATCACATATTTCAGTTCGTTCCATTTCATGTCAATATTCCTTCGAAAAGGCGGCGTCTGGATACATATGTAGAATATACCCAAAGTGGTGAAGGGTATCATATAATCGACCCAGTCCGATTTTACTACTTTCCTTAGTGGTATTCTTCTTAAAATAATTTTTTTTTTATCTTTTATTTTTTTCTACTTTCAGCCATTATAACCGGAAATTTGTGCAACGTTACCATTGATACAGCTACAGCATTTAAAGCCCTTGGCTCCATTTGGATATCACCCGATGATCCCTGTTCGTTGTACAAATGTGAGCTGAATAAATTGGGCGTACCACATGTGGTGGCCAAAAAGGATAATTGTGGAGAATTTTATTGTGACATTGTAAGTTTGAAATTACAACTAAATATTTCCAATCTTATTACAAAGTCTGTGAATTTTAAAACTTTTCAGGATTCCGAGGTGAGACCCAAAAATGGCACCTGTTGCGGTGAATGTGTACGGACGAAATGTCGTTTCGAAAATCAAGTGTATGACATTGGTAGCACATGGCACAATAATGTCGATTGCACATTGCTAGAATGTGGCCAGCTGGCAAATGGAGAGCCCATAATAAATGCCTATCAAAAAACCTGTCCAGAGTTGCCCAAGAATTGCCCACCGGAATTGATATATGTGGAAAATTGTTGTCAATATTGTAGAGAGCCAAGGCAGGCTCCACCCTCAGTATCAGTGGATGTGGATAATGAAGATATTTGGACGGAGGAATTTTATCGCAATCATCCCTGTAATAGGGAGTGTAAGGCTGGGGAAGCACCTCGCACCTGCCACTATACCTTTGTGGTGGAATGGTATGAAACCCTGTCGAAGGCATGCTACGATTGTCCCAAAAACATTACAGATTGTGTGCGTCCCCATTGTATTGCTGGGGATGGTATTACACGTTCGGTGACAGTGGTAAATCGTATGATGCCAGGTCCTCAAATTGAAGTGTGCCTCAATGATACCATAGTGGTGGATGTCAAGAATCACTTACTAGGTGAAAGTACGACAATACATTGGCATGGTCTGCATATGAAAAATACACCCTATATGGATGGAGTGCCGCATGTCACCCAATGCCCTATTTCACCCCATTCCACATTCCGCTATACCTTTTGGGCGGATAATGTAGGTACCCACTTCTGGCATTCGCATACCGGGATGCAGCGAGGTGATGGTGTCTTTGGAGCTTTGATTATCAAACGGCCACGCAATGAAGATCCACATGGTCATTTGTATGATTTCGATTTAAGTGAACACACCATGATTGTTCAGGATTGGGTTCATGTTCCAGGTGTTAGTATGTTTGCCTCACATCATCATTCGAATGGGGATAATAAGCCGCTGAATTTACTGCTAAATGGTAAGGGGAGGTATTACAAGGCCATATGGGAGGGCATAAAGGCAAAGGGGCGTTCTGCAGTTGTACCAGATGTTAAGGAGGCTCAGGGGAAGACGGTGAGATCTTCAGCTATAACTATAACCGAACCTGCTTCGGCTGCGAATGAAACGGAATATAATCCCAATGCACCTCTAGATGATGATGTGGTCCTACTACACCCCTCAAATGATGAGACGACACATACCTTAAGAATACAACAAAATGAAATTTCCAGAACGGCACGACTGGCAAAGGCGGAAAATGAGACCCACAAAAATCCCATCGAAGAAGAAGATGTAGTTACTGAAACATCTGAAAACCCAAAAATCCGCCATCTGGCAAAACGGGCCTTGGATGGTGAAATCCCCCTGCACTTTATACCGCTGCAGCAGTACAATGTTACCCAAGGTTTTCGTTATCGTTTCCGAGTGATAAATGCCGAATTTCTTAATTGTCCCATACAAATTTCCATTGATAATCACACATTGACCGCCATTAGTTCCGATGGCTATGATTTTGAGGCCCTGGAGGTGGGTTCCATAATAACCTATGCCGGTGAACGTTTTGACTTCATTGTCAATGCCAATCAGGCTGTGGGCAATTATTGGATTCGTCTCAAAGGCTTAATGGATTGTGATGAACGTTTTACATCAGCCTTCCAAGTGGGCATTTTGCACTACGACAAGGCTCCTGTGGAAGAACCTCAAGGTGATTTGGGTTATCAACATCAACCGGAGGGCATTGAACTAAATGCCATGAACAAAGGCTCGGGACACATTGATTCCCTAACCATGGCCGAAGTTAATGGTCTGCCAGTCTACGACAGAATCCCCGGTATAGATCGTGATGCCCTGAAACCGGTGGCAGATTATAAATTTTTCGTCTATTATGATTTCTATCGCAAAGATAATCCCGAATTTCATCCACAACAGTATTATGGCATGGGGGCGAATTTAAGTAACTCCAATATGGTTTTTACACCACAACTAAATCACATTTCAATGAAATTTCCTTCGGTGGCCTTGCTGGCTGAGAGAGATCGCGTTGATGATTCATTGTTCTGCAATGAAACAAGTTTACTGGAACAGGGTATTGATTGTCGCAAGGATTTCTGTAAATGTCATCACGTCCTGCAAGTGCCCAGAAACTCAATTGTGGAATTTATTATCATCGATGAGGGTGTGACCTATGATGCCAATCATCCCTTCCATTTGCATGGTAATGCATTCCGCGTTGTGGGTATGGAACGATTGGCTGCAAATGTCACTGTGGAAATGGTGAGTATTGGGGGAGGGTGAAGGGTGGGATTCTTTCGTTTTCTTTGTGATTGGTAACCTTATATAGGTCCCATAAGTATATGCGTACTTCTGCGGCCTTCTATGAATCGTATGTAGGCCACAAGCCTTTTGAACGATTTATATAGACAAAAAAGGTTTCGCATATCTTCTGTGTCTTCCTCTAGGTCTCTATATAGAAAAAGTTCAGATTTTTATAGACCAAAAAACCGTTTTTTACTACACTCAGGACCTACTCTACTTAGAACCTTATACGTGTCTTCTTTAGAGGTTTGATCCTCTTTAAGACTTCCTTAGACCGAAGATATTAGTAAACAATAACATCGGGCTTTCCTCGAAAGAACATCATATAAACACCTCTTCAGGTGGTTTGTAGGCCATAGATATTCTTCAGGTTGCCTATAGACTGAGCATCCTACTCAGAAAAAATTACTTCTTCAGATCTTCGGTACACAAAATAAATTCTTCAGATGTCCTTTTTGTATACACAGGTGACCATTTTCAGGACCTCTATTATCAGGTTTTATATACATCTCCTTCAGGTTCACTTAAAATCTTCTTCAGAAGACATTCTATAAGCAGAAAGTGTCCATAAATGGAGAGCTTTCTACATTCTTTCATTATTTCAATAAATCCTTCTTATGTAGACAGGATACCCTTTTCAGGACCTCTATTGACAAGATTAGTATACATCTTCATAAGGTTCGCTTTATGCTAGGACTACATTTGACAGAAGAATTTATCTGTATGATGCCTACTGTTCTGGACAAAATACCATGTTCTGCGCCTCTACTGATAGATATGTTTATTCTGGGTATCTATAGACAGAAGACCTCTTTATAGTCTGTAGAAGGGACAAAATAATGGGGTCCTCTTCAGGAATTTTAATGTCTGAAGTGTTTTCCTGGATCTATATATGATAGAAATCCTTCTTCTGGTCCTCCATAGATAAAAAATCTTCTTGATAGAAGAAGCTTTTATTCAGGTCACCTTCTTCAGGCCATCTATGGACAGAAGAGCACCTTCGGGTCTTCTATACAGAGGAAACCTTCAAGTCCTTTATGTAAGTACTTAGTTAAGTACTTTAATAGACAAACGCCATTCTTTAGATCTAAAGTACACAGAATGTCTTCCAGGTTCTCTATAGGCGGAATACTTTCTTCAGATCCTCTATAGGCAGAAGATAGTCTTTAGTTCTTCTTTAGACCAAATACCGTCTTCAAGTCTTCTGGACCTTATTTCGGTCGTCCAAAATCAAAAGGCCTTAGATATTATTTAGACAAAAGACAAGAAATTTTAGATAGGCAGAGGATCTTCCCAGGTTCTCTAAAAAAAGGAAGCTTCAACAGCTCTTCGCTAGACAGAATACTTCTACAGAACTTTTACAAAAAGGCTTTCGGGTTTGGCTTTCCTTCGTGAGGTTTTCTGAAGCCTACAGCATTTGCCTTTTATAGGCAGAAGGCTTATCTCAGATCTTCTAAAAATAGAAACAAATCTGCAGCTCTTCTTTCTATACAGAATATTATCAATGGGTCTTCCATCTATAGAACAGATTCATCAAATCTTCGATAGACAGGCTACCCTATTCAGGAAAATAGTAGACAAACTGCAGGATTCAGATCTTCTCTTCAGATATCATATAGATAAAAGGTGTACAGGTCCTCCCGGGTCTTCTATATGCAGAAACTCTTCTTCAGTTTTTCTATGGACCAAATATTTTCTTTAAGTCTTCTAGACCTTCTTAAGGTCGTCCATAATCGAAATGCCTTCTCCAGATCTTCGACAGACAGAATATCTTCTACAGGACTTCCACAAAAAGGCTGTCAGGTCGTCCATACTCAAAAGGCCTTTTTCAGATATTCTATAGACAAAACAAAGAGATCTCCACTTTTTCCACAGCTCCTCGATAGGCACAATACCTTCTACAGAGTCGTCATATTTTCCTTTCTCTCTAACCTCATCTGTCTTTTATTGATAGAAGTCATTCCAAAGGTCTTCTTAGGTTTCCCTCAGATCTTCTAAAAATAGAAAAAAATCTACAGGCGTTTTTCAAGACAGAATAAGTTCATTGGATATTCTATCGAAAGACATGCGAGTCTTAGTCTTAGGTCTTAGACAGAAAAGTCCTGCTCGTCCTTTATTGACTTTCTAGAGGCTGTCTATAGGCAGGCCACTTACTTCAGATCTTCTTCAGGTTTTCTACAGACTGTCTTCTTCGGGCGCAGAGTGTTTTAACACCTTCTTTAGGTTCAATAAAAAACCTTCATTGACAAAATAATTTCCACAGGATGTCTATAGGCAAGGTACTTTCCTCATGACGTCTGTAGGAAAAAGATCGTCATCAGGTCTTCTTTAAGAGAACTTCTTCAGAATTTCTGTAAACAGTCTTTTTCAGGCGCAGAACACCAGAAGTATTTTAAGAGAACACAATCTTTAGATTCTATAAATGCAGAAGTCCTTCTTCAGTACCAGAAGACTTTCTGTAGATCTAAAATATCTTTTTCGGATCTAGAAGACCTTATTTATGCTTGCAATAAACAGAAGAACTTTTTCCAGTTTTCTATAAAAATAAGACTTTTTACAGAACTTCCATAGACAAAGCATTTCTACAGAACACCTTGCTCAGACAGATTATTTGCTCAAAACTATCCTTTCTTGCCCTTCTCAAGTTTTGTATACAGAAGATCTGCTTCAGGTCTCCTGAAGGATTCGTCAGTTCTTTATATGATAGAATACTTTGTACAGGTGTTTCCAACAGAAGACCTTATTCAGATCATATAAAGCCAGAAGATCATCCTCAGGTCTAAATACATTATTTTTCAAGTTTGGAAGACTCAGCCAGGCATACACTCTTCAGGGCTTTTATAGATATTAGATCTTCTGTCGGTCAAGAGAGCTTCTTCCGATATTTTCTTGCTCTCCTCAGGTCTTTTAGGCAGACTACCTCCTGCCTATAGAATACATTCGTCAGGTTATTTATGAAGACTAGCCCTTATTCTGGTAGACAGAAGAGCTTCTTTCTATTTTCCCTTGGCCTCCTCAGGTTTTATAGGCAGAAGATCTGCTTCACGCCTCCTCAAGCCTTCGTCAGTTATTATTAAGACAGAGTAACTTTTGCTGATCCAGAAAAGCAGAAGAACTTCTGGAAGAATCTGTTCACATCTTGGTGTTGTGCATATAGTAGATCTGTTTCCGGTCTATTGACTTGAGATATTCTTCCGATTAAAGGCAGACTTTTTTCTTTAGGTCCTCTATAGAAAGCATATCAAACTTTTTTAAATCAATTTATATTTTTTTTTTCATTTCTTTCCTCTTTCAGATCAAAGAATTGGATCGTTTCAATTTATTAAAGCGCAACTTGGTGCGACCTCCCGTGAAGGACACAGTGACGGTACCCGATGGTGGTTATACAATTGTACGCTTTGAGGCTTACAATCCCGGTTTCTGGCTATTCCATTGTCACATTGAATTTCATGCGGAAATTGGTATGGCCCTGATACTAAAGGTGGGAGATAATGATGAAATGTTACCGGTACCGAAAAGATTCCCCAGTTGTCATGATTATGTGCCAGATTCGAAAGATGATGAAGAGGATATTGATGAAATGGTTATAAATAAACCAGGCCACTCCGATAATGGTGGTTCGGGAAGTATGGGAATAAGCGAACGAATTTCGTGGCATACGATTTTCGTTGTTTTCATTTTAAGTTTAATGATACGAAATTAGTTTCTATGTACGATTGAGTATTGATTGCGAGAAGGACATTCTAAATAAAACTGTGATTTTTTAAGTAGTTAATTAAGGACGTATTTTGTAAAAACAAATAAATATAAATATTTATGGTATTTTATTTGCATACGAAAATATATTAATTAATAAAGTATTAAAATAATGAATAATTTTTAATGGAATTTCGAATATTATTTAAAGTATATACCCAAATTTAAATTATTTGCTTTTAAATTCCCAATAATCCTTACAAGAATTCTTAATTATTTGATCTTTCATGGAAATGAAAAAAATCGAGCCATGTCTGCCGCTTGACTACCTTTATCCTTAACATTTAATATCACTAAGAAGATATTGTCCATTGGCAGCCTTTCATTCATTTATGAATCAGTATTCGTTATGACTTCACTGAAGCCCCGAATATTCTCTCCTTATGTATTTATTCAAGGAAATATTCATTATATTTCATTCGTTGCTGTAGTCCGTTGATTTCTTTTTTGTTTTCATGTTGTTGTTATTCGTTAGTTCGTTATTATTATTTTCCGTATATTTGTATTCATCCGATATTAATGCGAATTTCATTAGCCGAGTCGATACGCTCGAAGAAAAATGTTGGTAAAATATTAAAAAAATAAAAATGTGTCAGTCGGTGTTGTCTCTCGTTCGCAGAAGTATACGGAATTACACACACACATTTTATTATACTCAATCTGTGGAGAGGTACCAGATCCCATCTTCTCTATGTAGGCAAGCCGCTTTCTTCCGTTCTTCTTCTGACTATGTGTATTCCGACTTCTTCAGGCATAGAACACCTACAAGTATTATAACAGAACATCTTCTTCAGGTTCTATACATACATAAGAACTTCTATAGAACCAAAACCGTTCTGTAGGTCTAAAATACCTTTTGCAGGTATAGACCAGTGAGCGGAGCAGTATAGTCGGACGGGGCCGACCATACGATACCCTACACAACTACCACGAACTCTAACTTTCTGAGGATGTTTATTCCGAGTCTGAGTAATATTTCGTGATATTTGCCCCCTCTTGTCCGATTAAAGGTTAACAACACCTCTTCCTTACTTTTTTCGAATATTCAGTACAGTCCTGCTAATTACTTGTCCAGATTACCTTCACGGTGGGTTGTGTTGTGATTTTCGGATTATACTCTACTCGAAAACACACAAAAAATTATGTTTTCCGTCCATTTCATCCCAAAATTTTAATCTGATCATCACCGAAAATTGTAGGCGTTGTTCTTGACCATAACTGGAACTTCATGAAAAATTTCAAAGCCATCAGCGCGATATTTCTCCCTCTAATGTGGTAATGGGTTACTAAATAATATCTGAATACGTAAGCACCTGTAAATTTTTGACTGTAACTCCCACATCTGAGTAGATACATCACTATATTTGGTATCAATTTAAAGGCCAACCACTCCTCTTGGATATGCTATCAAATCCTGGGGACTACATCCTCCAGGAGTAAATATATATGCCGTAGAATACAAATTTTGTCATTTTTCACACAAAAGTCAGGGTCCATTTGACCCGCTAAATATTGACAGATCTTTATCAAAACATGCATGCTTATTCTCTGGCCCGATCCCCTTCTCCATGCAAAAATTCACGGTGTTTGGGCTATAATTGCGGCCTCTGAAGCGACCAGAAAAACCGACAAAAATTTAGTATTTGGTCCATTTCATCCCCTAAATATTAACCGATCTTTTCCAAAAACAATAGGGGTCTTCATTGGCCAGAACCCATCTTACATGCAAAATTTCGTGAATATTGGTCCATAACTGTGGCCTGTATCGTGTTTACAAATTATAATGGACAGACGGACGGACGGACGGACGGACGGACGGACACACATGTCTAGATCGAATCAGCTAGTCGAGATATGACGATTAAAGGTGGGTCTAGGACCAAGATTTCGCGGCGTTACAAACTCTTGGGGCTGCACAAAGCTATAATACCCTGACAACATAGTTGTGTAGGGTATAATTACCTTCTTTCTGTCTTCGATTGGCACACGACCTTTTCAGTTTTCTCAACAAGAAGACTTTTCAAACGCTGCTCTTATAAAATTAATTTTCTGAAAAATGTTGACCATTTTTTGTAGGAGATACCAAAAGGAGCGGACGAATGGATACCATATTCGAACTTGATTTAGAATTGGTAAAAATAACACGATGAGTTTGGCTTACAATATAGAGGCTTAGTAAAAACATAAGGTTAATCAAAGTCTAGTTCAAATCGGATAGTCCGTTCTAAAAGGAGTTGCAAGAGCCATTGTCAGAAACGGATTTGGTTCAAGGAAACATGAGGTCTAAAACCAAGGCACATTTTTGCCCTAGCATAGTAACTTCAGTACGTTGTGCAAACATTTGTGTCAATGGGCCATATTTTTTAGCTTTGGTGCACCATTTACTAAAAATCGGGCGAAACTATATATGGAAGCTATATGAACATATTTCAGTGAAACTTTCCACAGTAGGTTATACTAACTTCAGTACGTTGTACAAAATTTTGCGTCAATCGGCCATATTTTGGGGCCATTTACTTAAAATCGGACGAAACTATATATGGGAGCTATATCTAAATCTGAAACGATTTATCCCAATTTCAAAAGGGTTTGTCCTTAGGTCAAATAAATGAGCTTTGCCAAATTTCATCCAATTCGGATTAAAATGCGACCTATACTTTGTAGAGATGGGCAGTGGGTAAATACCCGGTAAATTGGGTATTTACCCGGTAAATTGGGTAAATACCCATTTGTGGGTATTTATTTGGGTATTTACTATATTGAATCATACGCCCTATTTCCGGTTTCTGTTATCAAATCGATTTAGAATGGATAGTTTTACGATACTTTAAAGACGTGGGTAAATACTTGGGTAAATACCCGAGTTTTTACCCAAAAATTGCGTATAAACTATTTTACTGCCGAACGACTTGACATGTCAAAGCAAACATAGAAATCCGAAAATGGTGTCCCTGGGTTCAACTTTTGTATGTTTGTTTTGACATTAATAACATGTATACAAAATTTTGGCCGCCTATGTCAAGTCGTTCGGCAGTAAAAGAGTTTATACGCAATTTTTGGGTAAATACTCAAAATAGGGGTACCTTTGCATGGACATTTGGTACCCAAAAAGAACATTCTGTGCCAAATTATAGCCAATTTGTTTGGAAAATGTGTCTAATAGACAAAAAATACCTTAAGTCCGGAGATACGGCTATATGGGGGCTATATCAAAACTTGGACCCAGGGACTCCATTTTTGGATTTCTATGTTTGCTTTGACATTAAAAACATGTATGCAAAATTTTGGCCGCCTATGTCAAGTGGTTCGGCAGTTAATGAGTTTATACCCAATTTTTGGGTAAAAACTCGGGTATTTACCCAAGTATTTACCCTCGTCTTTAAAGTATCGTAAAACTATCCATTCTAAATCGATTTGATAACAGAAACCCGGAAATAGGGTGTAAGATGTTGTATTACCGATTCAATATAGTAAATACCCAAATAAATACCCGCAAATGGGTATTTTCCCACCCCTTGGGTATTTACCCAGTAAATACCCGGTAACAGGGACGTACGCAGGGGGGCGGCCCGGGGGGCCCGGGCCCCCCCGAAATGAATTTTTTTCACAGTAAATGTTTGTTTGCAACAGCAAATTTTTTCATTTTGTACTACCGGGCCCCCCCCCCGAAATGAAATCCTGTGTACGTTGCTGCCCGGTAAATACCATCTCTAATACTTTGTTTACAATTTACATGGACAGACGGACGGACATGCATAAATCGACTCAGAAAGTGATTCTATGCACATTCTCAAAAGGAACCCTGGGTCTACCTCTCTTTCGCAGAGGTCTACAGTATTACAAATTCTCCATCTGTGGAGAGAATCTTCAGATTTTCCATATTCAGACTTCTTCAGGCATAGAACACCTACATGTATTTTAACAGAACTCTTTCTTCAGGTTCTATACATGCATAAGACCTTCATTGGAACCAAAGGCCGTTCTGTATGTCTAAAATACCCGTTTTAGGTATTGATGACCATATTTCTGTCTTCTATTGGTAGAATACCTTCTTTCAGTTTTCTGCACCAAGAAGATTTTTACAGGATTTCTTTAGACAAAATACATTCTTCAGGCATATCACACTTTACACAGAAAATATTGGATAAAAAAAAATTCTAAAGTTTTACAACCTGTTGTGGAGGTACCAGAAAGAGTGGACCGATATGTCCCATCTTCCTATTCGAATTAGTTTTGACGAAATTGGATATTCCATTGGCTTCCTATGAAATTTACAAATTCTCAAACTTTTGACCCATTGTGGGAGGATTCCAAATCCGGAGTATGTTCGCATGCTATTTTAAAATTAATTTTCAGCAAAATGTTGACTATTTTGTGTGGGAGATACCAAAATTAGTGAGCCGATATAACATTCGAACTTGATGTAGAGTTTGTAAAAATACGACGATAAGTTTGGGTCATATTGTGGGAGAAGTGCAATCTTCCAACAATATAGAGGCTTAGTAAAAATATTAGGCTGATGAAAGTCTAGTTCAAATCGTATAGTCCGTTCGAAAGGAGTGGGACGATATTCCCCATCTTTGAACTTGATTTAAGATTGGAAAAAAATATTACAATGTCCACAATAGCCATTGTAAGAAAAGGGTTTGGTTCAAGAAAGCAAGGGGTCTAGAACCAATATTTCGATGAGGCACATTTTTGCCCTAGCATAGTAACTTCAGTACGTTGCACAAAATTGTGTGTCATTCGTCCATATTTTGGGGTTTTGGTACAACATTTACTAAGGGGGCTGAAATTACCCCGGATTAAAGGTTATTGACCCCGGATTAAGGCTTAATCCGGATTAAGGGCCATTGACCCCGGATTAAGG